CTACGTTCAAAAATAATTTCATCATCATTCGATTAAAGTTTTATCTCTCCTTGAGTCTGTGTTTAAATAAAGAATCGAATATAATGAATTATTTAAATCGCTTTCAATTTTAATCATCGAAATCATCAATACTGCACCTTTTAATTAATAATAATTACATAAAATCCACACATAATTCATTTCATCAATTCTCCTCTCCCAAAAAACATAAAAAATCGGAGAAAATCACATTAAAACAATTCACACAATTAACTAATTAATCAATTAATTTCATTTTTCAATGATTGCCGAGTATTTCAGTCTCAAAACGCGTACATCATCAAGACCATCGAGACCACCAGAATTTCAAATTGAACACTGTATTTTCGATGCGACGAATTACTATTATCTTCATTTGTAATCGAAGATGACGTACTATTAAACGGTATTAATTTCCGGGACTTGATGACATCATTTAGCCAATAACTGGAAAGTTTCGGTGTTCTTTTTCGATTGGGATCGTTGAAGTCCACATGGACAAGCCCAAATGGTCTGCAAATACAAAATAATCTTTCAAAAAATGAATATGAATCAATATAATTCGATTACGATATCTCAGAGATCTTCATACTCACGTAAATCCAGAGTACCACTCAAGATTATCAAACAAACTCCATATAGTGTACGCTCTGACGTCACATCCGTCTCGAATGGCCAACAACATTTCCCTCATAAAAGAATACAAATACGAAATCCTCTTGAAATCATTGTACTCCGCCTTCTCCGCCATTCCATTCTCCAAAATATAAACCGGTGGATTATTGTACTCATCTCGAATTTTTCTCAGAACAGCCCCAATCCCTTCAGGAACAATCTAATGTACATCGATTAATCGATTAATTAATAATTTATCAAGAAATATATTATCGAAATCGAGAGATCGATAAATCGAGACGGTGTACTCACAGAAAAACCGGACATCGTGAATTTCCAGTGGGAATTGTAACTCTTGTTGAGACCGGAATCGTCGAACCATCGTCCACCGATTTTTGGCAGTGGCTCGACCATGTGCGTCAGGTAATGGTTCAAGCCCAGATAGTCAGCTGATCCCCTGAAATAAACAACAAATAATAATAACAAATTAAATAACAATCCGCTGTAGGAGAACTTCAAAAGATCGGAATCAATTCGTAAATCGAAACATTTAATATGATATTGTGGTGTGGGATTCTCTTTGGAAAAATAGTCGACCCAATTAAATCGGAATTAATTAATTACACCTGCTCTTACTTAATGTACTCGATCCATACTGGAGAAAATTGTGGTAATCTCGACTGTGTCAGACCCTCGGCTCTGCTATTCTCTGCTATTCTCTTCTTCATGACTTCCGGGTAATCTCCACTCTTCGAGAATATCGGATGCATTATCCATCCGGTCTCGAAGTTGAATGCGATTTTAGAGCTTTCAGAGTCATTAGCGATTTTTGGAATGTGATGGGAGCCATGGACTATCAGTCCAACCTGTCCTCCTTGGCTCGATCGAAATTCATTATTGTAAATGTGATAAGCACGTGCATGAGCCTTCAGCAAATTATGTACACATTTATAACGAATGGTGTACGCTGCACAAAAACAGAGAATTACGAAATATTATAATGTTAATGAATTATTAATTGTAAATGACATACCCGTGTTGAGTTCAGTGGCCTTTATGTAGAATGTTTCTTCGCAATAAATATTCAACTCGTTGATTGTCGTCCAGAATTTGACCCTGGGCCCCAGCTCTTTGAAGAGTACTCTCGCGTAATCCGCGAAATATTCAACGATCGACTCGTCAGTCCATCCACCGGTTTTTTCAAACAACGACTGCACGTCGTCGAAATGAAATATCGTGACGAACGGAGTAATTCCATTGGCAAGCAGTTCGTCAATCAAATTTTTGTAATACTGAATACCGTCTTTGCTAATTTTATCGGGGGATCCAGTCGGCAGAACTCGTGACCAACTTATGGAAAATCGGTAATGATTCAGCTGTGGAATAAAATATCGTTCTAGTTTCGTGGAGTATCGGTACTTCATCAATACTCACCCCCATATTTTTTATTATTTGCACATCCTCTTTGTATCTGTGATAGCTGTCAACTGCTACATCTCCAGTATCTCCACCACCGTAATACGATGCATTCGTATGAATCCGCCGATCCCATGTGCTCTCCGATTTATCACTCACGTTCCAGGCACCTTCTATTTGATAAGCAGATGTTGCTGCTCCTATTGATAACCCTTTTGGAATTTCGATGAAATTACCTGATGCTATTATTCCTAGGAAATCTCTGAAAAAATAATCAATTGTTTATTATTCTAATCGAAGGAATGCCGATTGCGAATAATTATGTACCGATTTAATCGATCTTGTTTCGTTGGCTCGTTCGATTCTTTCGGTTCATTAATATTCATTATTTTACCTGGAGATGCACAAGACTTGGAAAGCTGTGAAGAAAGTCCGCATCCTGATTGCAGCTTCAACTCACTTCTTGCTTCAACAATTATTCCCACGGGTGACATCCTTTTATTCGTAACTCGGTCACGATAAGTATCATCTGTTATCAGTTCCTTGTGATTAACGGATGAGCAGTTACGGATATCCGTGAATTACCGCTGTGCAAACTGCAGAGGAAGACTGCCAAATAAATAATTGCATTTTGAAATTTTATTAAGTCTGTTAAAAAAAATTGATACAATTACACTCAGACCATTATTTTTTATTGGAGAATTAATGGTGGATGCTCCTTTTAGTTGTTAATAATTAATCGAAGAGGTTTAGAATGGAATACCATTTTATTTTTATCCGTCAGGAAATAAAATTCAATGGCAAAAATTTGTGACACGTGCAATTGTCGACTGTATCACAAAAGACCGGTTAATCTCTTAGTCTCTGTGTGTTAATCCAAACGACGATTTAATGTCTTTAATATTTTATTTAATACCAGCACACGCATATATTTTATCACTCGAGGTGAACGTAATTTGCAGTTAAAATTCGCGAAATCCTCTCGCTGGATTACAAATTAAATAAGGAAATTTGCGATAATCTCTTTTGACATATTGCTAATACAGAAATGATCGACGATTTTTATTCTAGGTCAAATTGTAAAAAAAAAA